GGCTCGCACTTCATATGGACTCGGTTATGTGCGCAAAGTGCCCTAATCAAATCGGAGTATTCGTGACAATTTCTTGTTTGTGTGTTGGTTGCACCGTAGAGGAAGCCGACTCTCCTTCTCAAGCTGGACATTAAGTAAGCGTTCGATTCGGTGCGCCATGACTACAACCTCCTTCAACGGAGGAGTTTTTCCTCTCTTTTTTGCGGGGAGGAGCTTACCCTCGATATTCTGCAAGGGCATCTCCAACGCTGGGCGCTAAGGAGGGCGCCAGGATCAATTTCCTACTGATTTCCCTGTCAATTGGCAGTTAGGCCTTGGAATCCTAGCGCCAGACGCTACGTTGGCGCAAAGATAGGCATCGATCGCTTAGTTCTTCTCTCTCCCGCAACATGCGCCTGGGCTGTTCAATTAGCACTCAATCAGCACCGGCTGTTAGCATCTCACGTTGAGAGGTAAAGCGCCTAGGAATTTTCTAATTGAATAATATTTATTTTTTACTCCATAAGCATCTACTTAAGCGTCTTGCATTGAAGATGCCCTAATTGGATCCGTGCCCTCCTATCGTCTGCCAGGTCGCATGTGCTTCTCAACGGGGTCCCTGATGACCCAATTTAGCACAAGAAGTGTCTCATGCAAGGAGACCCACTCTTCCTCCTACTTTTTTTTCCTCGTGATTGACCCACTTCAGAGCCTTCTCTCCTTTGCCACCGACAAGGGCCTCCTCCACCGTCTTCCCGGCAAGGGTGCCACCTTTCACGCCTCCATTTACGCCACCGACGCGATTGTTTTCTTGGCTCTGATTAAAGAGGATATTGACGCTCTCGCTCACATCTTAGATGACTTTGGAGAGATCACGGGGCTCAAGATGAACTTCCACAAATCTCTTATGACTCCTATCCATTGCCAGGACATTAACATCAATGTCATCCTTCATAGCTTGAAAACCAAGAGGGCCACTTTCCCTATGTCTTATCTGGGCTTACCTCTCTCTATGTGGCGCCTTAAAAGAATAGATTTTCAGCTTCTTAAAGATAAGGTCGCCGACAAGCTACCTCCATGGAAAGGAAATCGCTTCAGGCCCTATTTGGTTCATAAGTCCTAAGACTTTTTTTAGTCCCAATTAAGAAGTCCCTAGTCCCGAAAAGGTTCCTCCCTGTTTGTTGCCAGGGACTAAAAAATCCCTAGTCCCTCCATAGAGGTTATTAAATGACCATATTACCCCTAGTATATAGAAAAATAACAACCAAACAACACCATGGGGCGGCGGTGCAATGGGTGCAGAGAGGGGCATTGTTGGAAAAGTCCCAAAAAAGACTCTCCTTAAGAGTGTTCTTCATTTAGTCCCAAAAAACAACTTTTAGTCCCTAGTAGTCCCTCCTGTTTGGTTAAAATGTCTCTAAGAGGGACTTTTTCTAGTCCCTACATCAAAAGGTCCCTGGAAACAAACACCCCCTCAATCTGGTCGGTCGGGTTGCTCTGGTCAAGGTGGTCCTTTTTTAAAGGAGGTTAAACCCCTGGCCTCTGCATCATAGTGATGCTCATGACCATTGTTATTAATTATTGAACAGAATACATAACAGCAACCGCATCCGAACCATTACAAGATGTAAAATAAAAACTACGACTAAGTTGATTTCTGCAACAACGCCTTCAAGAAGGGATAAACGTCCTCACAACATCATCGTCGCGTCCAACCGGAGACAAATTGGACAAGGATTTTCATCCTGCTTTTCCAAGACATCCAATGAAGACCAAAGTCCTTACCTCCCTAGCGATCTCCTATATCACTACGCTTGACATTCCGATCGAGGTCCTTGAGTTCATTGACAAGATCTGTAGAGCTTTTCTATGGACTAGCAGTGATAAATTTTATGGTGGCAAATGCAAAATTAATTGGGAGGTGGTTTGTCGCCCTACCTCCATTTCGGCAAGTTCACCCACACACTTCATCTTAGATGGCCATGACTTGAATGGTCGACCTTGGAGAGGGCCTGGATTGGCATGGGTAATCCATGTGACGACGAGAACATGGACCTTTTCTGGACCTTTTCCATGCTCTCACTCGTGTTCACGTCGGCAATGGCCGGAAAGCGAGCTTTTGGGATTCCCTTTGGACGGACAGGTTGTGGCCGAAACACATGTTGTTTAGGATGCGCTGCACAGCAACAAATGGGTGGATTAAATTGACACTTCTGGTAGTATTTCTTTACAACACCTACATAAATTCATCTTGCTTTGGGACTTGACCTCCCAATTTCTTTTGAACGACTAACAGCGTGACACCATTACCTAGAAGGTGTCCGCCTCTGGATGCTACGTACTCTGCTACTTTTTAGCTTCAAAACTCAATTCCTATGGTTGGTGTCCACGGACATGAAAAGGATAATTTAGAAAATTTGGGTACCCCTTAAGTGCAAGATTTTGCATGGCCCGTCACCCAAAACAGGGTTTGAACGGTGGGCAGACTTGCCAAGCACGGCTGGCCCAAGTGCGGCCAATACCCCTGTGCAACCGCACCCGAAGACGGTGG